TCAGAGAAAGACAGACTGCAGCTTCCTTATTTGTAAATACTTTCCATAGGAAAAGGACTGTTCACCTTTAAGTTTTCCAGTGGATAGATTGTGCAAAATGAATGAGACTTACTTACAAGTTCAATTTAAAATAACTGATCATCAGTAAAAGGGATTTTCCTTTGCTCAGGAGAGAGTTAGTAAATGGAATAGGACATTGAAAGGACTGATAAGACCAGCCAGCAGATATTGTTTCAAAATAGAGGAAGGAAAGAATTTAGAAGAAAAAATGTGAAGTTCTGGCTACAGTTACAGATGGGATACATTCTTTCTTAAGCTTTTGTGTTCCCCGTACAACACTAAAAACATTAAATAGATGTTCTTCTAGCACACATATATATATTAAATCAAATTGGAAGCGCAACTTAGGGAAGAATTTAGTTCTCTGGTATAATAGCTAACAGTCTAAAATATATTTCTTGATTTAAATAGTTGTATTGTCTTCAGTAAGGATTATCACATGCATATCCAGCTGCTATTAGATCATTTTATTCCAGACCATGTGTATTCTGGGGTCCCTTGTGACAGTTATGAAATTCAACTACAAGCTATTGTTGAACTGTATGTATCTCACATCTCTTTAAAAAGATTAGGCTTGCAAGACCATAATTGTTTTAAAAAATATAGTTCTTACTTCACATTACCATCCCAGGCTTCAAAGTTTATTCAAATCTAATCTCTTCAAGATCAAGCTAGTCATGACCATGTTTCTAATGTGAGCATTTTGGCTTTATTTCTCAAAGAACAATGGGATAAATTCACTGTGGATATAAATTAAAATGCTTGATATAAACTAAGGATGAAACTTCTCAAACTAAACAAAAGAATGAGTACTTCTGGGTATTTTGCATTTTGTTTCAGAAAAAAAAAAAAAACAAAAACAAAAACCAAAACCACAACTTTGTAATCACACAAAAATAAAGGATAAAAAGTAAAAAGCCAGAGAGCAAAAGCTTTCCCTTTAGCTATAAATGGTCTACTACCTTAATTAATAATACTGCCACTAACACTTTTATTAAATACTCTAAACTGAGAGTTCTGTAACTCTCACAAGACAGATTTTGAGTTGAATCAAAAGCCCTCAAATATTTCAGTCAGGAAAATGGTGTCTTCTACTTTTCAATAATAAGAAGCTGTGATGCAAAGCTAAAGCTACAGTGCACAAGGACAGAAATCTTCAATCTCATCCTTGGAAGAGGCTTAGAGAGCTCCAGGCATGCGGAACTTGGCACTCCACGTGACACAACACAGGGAAAGTGTCACCAGTAGAAGACACAGCACTGGCTCTCAGTGCTGTCATGGACATGTTGAAAATACCAGGGAGTCTTTGTCCTGCCTGAAAACCAAAAACTAAACCTACAGAATTGTATCACAGGGAAAGCACGTAGCCTGGATTTGAGGGATTAAATGCAGTGCGTGGTTAAATACAGCTCTCCTCCTGGTTCTCTGATGAACCTTTAACTCTCAACCTGAGTCAGTGTTTCTATAGCAGAGATGCCTGGGTGTCCTAGAGCGTCTCAGTGTGTGTGTTTTTCATTGTTTCTTATACACTACAAAACATACTCACCTTTTGAAAATTTGACATCTGCTAAGCATAGGTGTTAAGTGACTCCATCAAATACAAAACAGTAGTGAAAAAAATAGTTCCTTAAGCATAAGACAGTGCATGTAGGTAGAATTTTAATGATTCACATCATCTGCTCACATTGACTTTGGCTGAGCTTTTCAGAGAAAAAGAAAGGTTAGAAAGAAGAAAAGGAAAAAAAGAGGCATTAACACAGAAAATGACTAGTACAACTCCTTTGAACCACATTTCTCAGTGCTATTAGGAAAATGGACCTTACTTGTCACTTTTTATCCAGCCTGCAAAAGGATATTCTCAGGAGGAAGACATAAGAAGTTAGGACACAGAAGATCTACTTCAAAGTCCCAGTTTGCCTTTGAAATCTGGGCAAATTAGGTCTAGGTTCTTATGGAGCTGAGGTGAGACAGCTTCCTGCAGGCAGTTAGCTTCACAGGTTCTCCCCTCCAGAATAAAGGTAATACACAACCTCATCCGTACATGATATAATCTTTCCAAGGCAGAGGGATTGCACCCTAGAGACCCAAAGGTATGTATGTGGTCATTTGCCCAGTGTTGCCCTGCTTAACTTTCAGGAGTGCAGCCACACTGCCTGCAAAATATCCTTACCCGAAGAAAGATCCTCAGAAACCAACAGGCAGGGAAGAAAGAGCTGGGCAAGAGAACTGTAGATGAGCAAGGCATCAGATTTCCTTCTGCTTAAGTTCACTCACTGTGACTACTCCTCCATTAGTTACCTGCAACGGACAATCTGCTCTGGTAGGTGGGGAGTTCCCCATCCAGGAGACACAAAAATCCACAACTTTCTACCACAGAAGAACCACTGAGGCCATGGGTAGCATATGTGTTCCAAAACAGGGCTGGGTTTAAATGTTTGGGTTAGTGCGGGCACTTGAAAACGGTTCACTTCTCACCTGAGCACTTTACCAACCGATCTGCTGGCTACTCTTGAGTCACAGTTTTTCCATGTCTCTGACAGTAGCTGTTCCCCTTAGAAACATTCCCTGGACCAAAAAGCGAACAAAAGAGATTGTTTCTACTGCACTGTGGCTTAGGTCAGCGGTGTTGGTACCAAGGCTGAAGTCTCTCCTTCGATATTTAATTAACAAAAAAAGTTGGAACAACTCCAACAGGACAGGTGAAAACCTTTCCACCAGCGTATCTATTACCACAGTGGTTATGCCTTTCTAATGGGATGCTGATGACCAAATTCAAGTCTTAGCTATAAATTAAGCAGAGGACTTTGAATCTACCTCTTTCATCCTAGAAATAACAGAACCTAAACTTTTGTTTGATCAGAACATGCACAAACGTATATATGCTGATGGTAGTGTGCTAAGCCTGTATCTACTGGCAGTATTCAGCCACCTCAGACATGCTCTCCATACACACAGAACACTGGGCCCAGCTAAGGAGACAAACTCATTTCGAGTAGGTTTTGCCTTCAGTCTTAATTCCAACAGAGTAACAAGGGTATGATTTAAGTGTTTTGGGAGTTTTGTTAATGTCACCTGGCAAAAAAAGTCCAGAAGCAGCTCAGCGATGTATCTCTGAACATTAGCAGCAGTTAGGTGCCCATAGGAAAAATTGCAGGTATTTGCACTCTGCCTAAGGCAATGGCTCCCAGATCCCAGGAGAGGTTTTGAACACTCTTGTTATTTAATGAATTTGGAGAAGCTACTCAGAGTTTAAATGGAAACTCACATTTCATAGAATCTAGTTTGCCTTGGAGTGCCATGAGCATGATAGGACAGTCCCACCAAGTAGGCTAACATCATACAATTTCTTATGAAAAGATGTAGAACGTGCTTGGAAACCTCTACATTTTCTTTAGGAGACATTCCCAGAGCTGCTGGAGCAGCAGCTGTGGCAGCTTACATCTGGATCCCAATGACAGAACAGGAGCTAAGCAAGAAACTGAGGTCATTCAAGGGCAGGAGTTATTTAAGTTTGGATGCAGTAATTTATCTTGGAAGGGGTAAAATAAGAGATTTCTTCTAACTGAACAATATTTTTCAATAATTTACCATTTGTACTTTGGCTTACACAGAGATCATATTTTTGATACAGGCCATGAAACACGTTCTCATTGGAAATACTGGAACTCTATACTAGAGTTTTATGGGTTTTCATTTCTTAATGGGAACAGGGCTGGGATGATCAGTGTTAATGCATTAAAGGTTTACATACCTGAGAGGTATAAGTCTTTCCTACCTCACAATCTTATTTTTCATTCCATCACTATTCTTTTATATGGATCACCATGCTCTGCATGTTTCCTTATTTCATGTAAAAGAATTAAATCCTTGCCATAAACATTTCCAAATCTTCATTCATCAGTCCATTAAATGCCCTCTTGTTAACAGACAAATGTCTTACAGAACTACATTCAAATAGACAGAAATGGCTGCTAAGAATATTAAAGAAAGAAAAGCAAACACCAGGAAAATTTCAAGAGTTCAGACCACCAGTCCCAAAAGTAGGAAGAAAAGCATTGCAATACCCCATCTTTAACAAAAGGAATCATTTATCATGACACTTAAATGCATTAAAAAGCCAAGCCTGCACCAGAATGGCTGCGACAATGCAAACCTGCTAATGTGGGATTAGTTTAGCCAATTTAGAAAACAAATTAGTATAAAAGAGTGTCTTGTATGTCCAATCGCTATGGAGGTCCAAGGCAGGTGGGAGAAATAGCTGTGAAAAATGCTCTTTCAGCAGCAGAAAAGGCAAAGTTACACTATGTACAAAGAAGTCCCACTGAATACAAAGATGGAGATAGCTCCAACCACACAAGCAGGAGATTGTATTTCCAAACACAGCATTATTGACCCTCAAATTCTACCTTCTCCAATGATATGTTAAATCTCTTTTTTGCTGGTTCCTTTTTTCCCCTCAGGTAGGATTACCATACACATATTGTGGAAATATTTCAATGGAGAAGCAAACTGCACCACTCTGGGACACAGAGCATTTAACCTGGGAACAAGCAACAGTCCTTAGCCGAGTTTACACATACCCACTGCAGAGTGGAAAGCTGGAAGCCCCCAACATCCAAAGCCATGGTGACTTTTCCTGCCCCAGTGCAGTCTTGTACCTAAATTAGCAAAATGTGATCATTTGATATTCCTAAGTAATTTTTCTATTTCCCTTTTGAAAAGGAAGGTGCTTCCTCCCATTCTGCTGTTCTTTTCTCAGATCCTTGAGCCATCGCTCATGCTGTGACTGAAAAGGCAGCTGAGAGAAACAGTTCAGCAAGGAACAAAAAGGGAGGTTTTATTCACATTCTTTATAAATATCAGCACCTTAAAAAGAATAGTACAAATCAAAATGCAGAGATGGGAATATGTATTTGAGGAGACACAGTCACCACAGTGAGGAGATTTTGTTTTTATCTTTACTCTTTAATCCCTTTCATACTTTATTAAATGTAATCAAGCAATGTGAAGTCAGTGAAGGGTTTATAAAGAAGGGACAGTTCCTCTGTCTTCAGAAGTGATTGACCATGTTACAAAAGGATATAAAAAAACTTAGGCAATTTAGCAAGTCCTAAACAGAAACAAATATTTAAATATAGGCCTGTGCTTAAAGCAGACTGCTTTGCTAGGGCCCAATGTCTAATTCAAATGTGAGAAAAAGAACTCAAGTGCATATATATCCAGATTCATACTCAGATTAATTTCAACTGCTTTTCAGTTGAAATTGTTACAGATTAAAATGGTAAAGAAAAAGAAGAAATACTGTTTGCCCAGGCAGATACAAAGATTAAACATATTAAGTCCAGAATCTACAAATAAAAAAATAGACTTTTCAGAAGTTACATCAAGTTCTTTAAGGTATTTAGAGGCAGGTATTGGGAAGTTAGACTACAGCAGTTACAATCACTGTTAATTTCAAAGGACAAATGCATGTGATTTTACTTCTGCACATACTATTACAATTGCATTATTTATTTAATTAGTATTAAAATATAAGCTAATTATAACAAATCCAGTTCCTTAGCATGTGTCTACACTTCAGCCCACTGCCCAGCGTAAATATGAGCCAGCTTGCCTGCCAAGAACAGTCTGTCTACTTCAGCCAAGAAGTGGGGCAAATAAGCTCTGCTGGTACAGATAGGCAGTTTCCAGTCTCCAATCTGACTTGCTTGTAGCAACTTTAGATTTTACTATATCGCACTGTTGCTGGCAGTGTTGCCATACCCTCATTTTAATAACTCTGCAGACAGCAAGAAGCCGTCAGCAAAACACACTGTGGTTCTCAAAAACAGCTTCAGAGCTGTGAGGTGCTAGTGAATAGCAGTCTCTGTGAGAGCAGCACGATTTATAATCAGTATACAGAGCCCCCGTGATTAATATTCATGTTACATATCCCAGAATAAATGGGAGATGCCAGCCTGATCCAAAGCCCTCTGAAATTGATGGAAACCCCTTCCATTGACTGCAACGGGCTCTGGGTCAAGCCCCAAGCATCCAAGTGTGTTTATACCTATTAAAAAAGAAGGAATTCACTCTCCACATATTTCAGTCCCTCACATTTATTGTCAGCAAACCTCTAGCAAAAGAATGCCTTCCTCTGCAATGGGACTCTCACTGAAGCCAGCAGGAGCTATATATACAGAGACTGAGGACATAAGCTCAATGCAAAACAAGTAACAAATTGGAAAGAAACTTGATTTTGAAACCACACAAGACAAAATTTAGTGAGAAAGCAAATCTTTCTTTGTAAGAAGTATAAAATACCAGGTTTTGTATACCTTCAGGTTAAGAAGGAAATTTTCAATGAGGCACATCAAACCTTTGTATTAAGCATTAAAAAAACCCACTCATGTAAATCTAATACCATTATAACCATCTTCCTTAAACACTGTAATTATAGCCTCTGAGGGTAAGTACACGAATGGCAAATTAAATATGGCCATTTAAATTATTTTATGCAAAGCAAAGTTTTTTTTTACTTATTAAAGCAATTTAATGCTACTTATAGGTGTCCTTGTTATATGCAGATTGACAGTGAAGTTAAAGAATAAAACCTCATTTATTTTTATGCTAATTTATAAATTTTCTGAAGTCCAAGTCCTCTCACAATAGTGTATAGTAACTGGATTAAAACTACCTTCAAATACTTTCCACCACATCTTTTACATGAAACATCTTGCAAAACCCACGATGTCTACATAATCATTTTACAGTGATTATCAAAAAAATATTATGGAATTAAATAAAAGTGGATTGATATGGATTTTTCTCCCCAAACAATAAAATCCTAGCACCATACAAAATATCATGATTTAAAACTGTGTGCTGGCTCTCCTTCTTTCTCTTTCTTTCATTTTAATAACCAAACAAATTCTATTCCAAAGCATGACTGTCAATATGCAGACTGGTTTCCAGAGTAGTTTTCAAGAATATTTTTTTTTTCCTGCATTTTGCTTCAAGAAGAAAAATATGAAGTAAAAAAAAAAAAAAAAAAAAAAAAAAAAAAACAAGAAAAAGAAAAAAGATACATGAAATAAAGTCAATTAACAGTGAGTCCCCACGGAGGCAAAAGTGGACATTTCACGACGGATGGTACTGAAAGGGGAGAGCTCCAGTTCTGTGGTGTACTCATTGTCATTGTCATCACTTGTCACTGTTGAAGACTTCTGGATGCACTCATCGCAGCAGCAACAGCAACACTCCATAAAGGCCCGGCTGAAAGGTTTACAGAGACAGAAAAGGAGAACTGGGGTAACACAGGACTTAAAGAACAAAAGGAACTGACTAATGAGATGGAGGAGGTCCATAGTCTGCCGAGAGACCCCTGTGGACATGTAGGCAGTCACAATGTTGCAAATGTTTTCAGGAATGATGCAAAACCCATATAAAATGGTCAAAGCCACCACCGTGCAGTTCATCTGACTTTCCAGCTGAATTTGTCGCTTGTTCCCCCTTGTGCAAGCCTTTTCCGCCCTCCTGATTTTCCTCGCTGTTACCAGGGAGCAGGTAATAGTGAAAAGGGTAGGCAGACAAAAATAGCAGCCAAAGTACCACCAGAGTCTTGCCCCATCGTAGGTGAGGGCTAACACATAGATGGTGTCGGGCAGCGCGGTGGAAATCTTCACCACGCAGCGCTCCCCCGGGGGGCTGCCGCTGTATTCGGGGTCCTCCTTCGCCAGCTGGCGCAGCACGACCTCGGGCAGGGCCAGCAGCAGCGCGCCCACCCAGATGACAGCCAGCTTGGCCGTCGTCGAGGTGCAGTTTTCGATCATCTCGTAATACATCTGCACGTTGGTGGCGGCGCGAAATCGGTCGATGCAGAGGGCGCAGAGCGTGAAGGTGGTGACTCCGAGGGAGGCCACCTGGGAAGGAGAAGAGGGAAGGCGAGTTAATTTGGGAGCTGGGTGCGTGAGGAAAAAAACAAAACAAAACAAAACAAAAAAAAAAAAACAGCTGTAAAGCAACAATCCATTATTCAGTGGAGAGTGGGATAACTTAATCTACTTAATCTCCTTTAAAAGTTCCCTGGTCCCCTGTTGATGGCAGTCATCTCAGAGATGGAAGATGAAGGTCTGAACTAACTCAGGCTGAAGAAGGAATTAATTTACTGTACATTGGATGATGGCTCTTTACCATTGAGCCGTTCTCTGGAAGAAGTTTATACCCTTTCATAGTGAAAGAGAGCTCAGTTTGTACTCTGAAACACCAGTCAAGTCTAGCCTCTTGACTGACAAAGGCAAAGGAAAACCTAGTTTAGGGGTATTGGTGTGGGAGACAGTTAAGTACCACAGTGCTGAGCACCATCAAAAGAAGCATCACAGACAGAACTTAGCTTCCAGTGTTTGCTGAACTATCATCCAGCATGCGTCCCAAAAGAGTATATCCTTCTGTTTTTCCGCCTACTAATATTTATTTCAGCTTGGTGTCATCCTCTCCTAGAGACCCATGTGACCATCTGTGCAACACTGAGTGGAAAAAAAAAACTGAGGATCCGACCAATATGTAAAACTAACCCCCCTGCCCCTATTTTTCTAAGGGATGTTTTTCAGAAAGATCAGTTCCACCACAGGGGACTGGAATTTCAGTCAGAAGGGAAGGAACGGGAGAGTCTTCCTTCAGCAGAAGCATGAACTTATGCCCACATCACATGTTCATCAAGCATGCAGGGGATCATAACATTGAAACCTTCCATATCTACAAAATTTTGGAACCCTGTGGATTAAGCATCTACTAAATGGAGTAGGGTCCAACAGCTGCTTCTGTGGACTTAGCCTTTTAACTGAAATTTTGATGTGATATAGGCACGTAAAGTCATCCTGTACTGTGAGTTCAAAGAGATTGTAACTAAAATCTTCAGATTTCCAGAGCCTGTGCAAAACTGACCTTTAGTTAGGCTTTAATAATCTACCTTCAACATTTCATTTAGAAAAAATTCACAGGAAAATCTAGGCTTAATTTCATAGCAAACATCCTGTGGGAGAGTGTACTGCAGGCCAGGAGAAATGGCAGAAGTTTCATTGTTTAAATGATTTCAAGATGGATTGGACAGAGCTCTCAATTATATACTGTAAGGAGCAAGTACAGAGCAATACATATGTTCTCTAGCTTCAATAAACATCATTCTATGCATGAATAGAAATCTTGTACTGTCATGAAATATAATTTCCTATCATTTTATCCTGTTTATAATTAAATTTCCTTAAAAGAAATTTGCAAGAAGACTATATACATTTTGGCCTAATCCTATTTCCAATAAATTCAGCTTCAGTTCAAATTCAAAGCAGAACTCCCATTAACTTCAGTTGCAGAAAGATTAGTTGCCCTGTTGCATTCTAATTCATTTATTTTCTTGGGTTTGCATGCTTGTGTTTTACTGAAAATGTGTTGATGCAAAAGAAATGAAACCATTAAATAATATTACTAATAAATGTAAAGAATGCTTTCTTTTATCATGAATAAACCACATGTCTGTGCATTTAACTGAGAAATCTAGGGTAATATTAGGCAGTTCACTATAATTTTGCTTAGCCAAATTTGATGTGCAACGATGTATCTAAATTTCATATAAATAGATTTAAAAAAATACTTTCTGATTTCCACCATAATTTTGAAATATTCCTGTTTATGAATCTCTTGTAAAAAGTTCAGCAAAGATAGTACAATTATGCACAACTATATAAATGTGCCATTAATTTTGGCCTTCAATATTTAATGGTCATATCAAATTGCTAAAATTGAATATCACTGAAAAATATTAAGCACTTGGGATTAGAACTGTCAGGCAGTGTCTTAGTGGGAGAATTCTTTGAAGCAGCTTCCTAAAAGATGGAATGAGTAAGATGCAATCTCTCACTAATTAGCTTGCAGGAATATTTAATGATGACAAAGCAGTACTGTAAACATTTTTAATAGGCAAACTTATTGATTTAGGAAGTTAAACTGTCTGACAAGATCCAAAGAAAGCTTGGTAAATACAGAAAAAAAAAAAAACACAATTAAAGAAAAATTAGAGTTATAGGGAAATCTTAATGAACGGTGATAGAATTTAGGTAATGAAAGATAATTTTCATGTATCACTGCTGAGAGTCAGATTTTTAAATTTAAGACTAGTGACTTTGTTTCCAAAACATTTAAATGTGTATGCAGTCCTCAAATTCCTTACAGTGACAGCAAAATCTTTAGTCAGAATATCCAATGTGAATAACAAAAGGGTCAGGACTCAGCTCTCTACAATTATGGGAGACGAGGAAATAACTGAGATTCAGGAATAAATACAGATTGAAACAAAAATCAGCAGAACAGAAGAAAGCCTGAGTTTTTTTACATAAACTTTTTCCCTCTCAGCTCTCACATGAGCCTCTCCCGCTGCCCCCAACACACATGCTTTTATTGCTTTAGTATTTCTTTGCAAACAGACTGTTATACAGTGGCTAAGACATTTGTCCTGGGTTGAGTGAGTGGTGGAGTTTTTTGGTGGCAGGGGAGGGGGCTATCAGGGCGGCCCCCTGTGAGAAGCTTCTCGAAGCTCCCCCAGCTCCAAGTCAGCTCCACTTCTGTTTGGGAAATTAAGCCAATCGGCTGTGCCTCTGCGATAACGTATTTAAGAAGGGACGTGGTGAGGGGCAGGGGGACTTGTGAGGAGGAGTTGGTGCAGCTGCATGAACACCAAGGTCAGTGGAGGAACGGAGGAAGAAAGGAGGGGGGAGGTGTGCCGGAGCAGAGACCCTCCTGTATCCTGTGGTGAGACGGCAGGGCGGCCCCCCCTGCCACCCATGAAGATCTACGGTGGAACAGACATTGATTTGTGGCCGGTTGTTCCTGCTCGGATGATCAAGGTTCTGTGCCCGAAGAAGGCCGGGGTCTCATGGGAAAAGGTAGCCCCGCTGCTGTAATTCAGCGCTGGGAGGATTGCAGCATGCGGGGGAGTCCCACACCGGAGCAGCTCGGGAAGGGCTGCAGCCGTGGGAGGGAATCCAGTCGGAAAAAGTTGGTGACCCATGACGGAGCAGTGTGGGGAACGCTGCGGCCCATGGGAGGAATTCAAGTCGGAGAAAGTTTGTGGAGGACTGTCTCCTGTGAGAGGGGGACCACGATGGAGCAGGAGGAACAAGTTTCGGACACTCCCCTCACCGAACATGAAGGAAGTGGCAGCGCTGACTGCACCCCCCATTCCCTGCCCCTGTGCCCCTGGGGGAGGAGGTAGAGATATCGGGAGCAGAGCTGAGCCCGGGAAGAAGGGAGGGGTGGGGGGAAGGTGTTCTCAAGATGTGGCAATGCTTCTCACTGTCCTACTCTGTTATGTGTTATTAGTGTCTGTAATAAATGTATGGGTTTTTTTCTTCCCCTAACGAGTCTGCCTTTTGCTCGTGATCATAAAAGGGGGATTTTTCCCCATCCCAGTCCTATCTTGAACCCCAAGCCTGGCTCTCTGTCCTTTCTCATTGCCGGAGGGGAAGGGAGAGAGAGCTGCTGCATTGTGGTTGGCTGCCAATCAGGCCTAAACCACAACAACATTAAAACTCTGCAGCTGCTAAGGATGGACTAATGAAAGAAGACATGCCTACCATGAACAAACATAACCTACGGGGTTCCTGTCACATTAATTGACCAACAATCTGGAGGTTTAAGACAGTGAAATAGTGCAAGAGGAAACAACTAAGAACAGTGGAAGCCAGCTTTGAAAACTCCCCTGGATTTACTGATAAAACAAACTAAACAAAGACAGTGTTTCTCTGGAACAGGCAATGAGTCCCTATTTTCTGTAGATTAATGGAGTTAGTGCAAAAGCTTGCAAAAAACAAACACTCCCAAGCAGATGAACACGGATTCACTCCAGCTGACTTATTTAAAGGCAGTATAGCAATTTAAGGGCTTGCTTACTTACCCCACATTGCAGACTATGAGTAATAGCCAGAAAAATCAATGGGTGCTGCTCACAACCCATGTGGGCGAGAACTGAGACATGCACTCTGCATGCTCACACAATTTCAGTTAAGGGGTGTTTCTTCATACCAGTCATACTAATATAATTAGGGTTAAGCTGACAACATGGAGGAAACCAAGAAGTTTCCTTTTTAATCTGTTACATTGCCCTGAAATAACTATAGAATGAAGATAATTCATCTGATGGGGAATAGGTAAAGGACAAATTAAGAAATCCTAAAGCGGTGGAAAGCTGCATAGAGTTTAACGGTAGTCTTGTAACAGGTGAAGTTCTGATATGCTGACATGCTGCTGCAGTCTTAATTCCAACAACTTGGCAGGAAATGAGGCAAGGCAAAGGTGTGTCAGGCTCAGTAGTTTCTGATCATCACTTCATTGTCTGACATTACCATATGGTCACTATGAAAATTCTCCTTCAGTTTCTAGACTTTCAGGATGACACCAGTTTACATCTTTCTCTTACTCAGATGATCTCAGAGAAGTCCCCAAGTTTCTAACTGAATGACCACCAATCTGCTTTGGGGAGCTGGAGAAGTAACCTCTGCTTTGAGGAGGTGCCCACACTATTTGGGCAGAGAACCGCTGTTGAAGGGATCACCAGCTGCATCATGCACACACAAAAGAACACATTATCGTTATGAAAGAGTCTTAATACTGTTGCTCCTTTAAAAGCATTGACAGGGATGTTAGTGGGCACCATGAAGCTCCTTCAAGACACTGCATAAACCTTTGGCCATTAGCTCACCAGCTGTTAGTCAACTGTGTCAAAACTCACTTGGGAAACCAAGGCCAGAGAGAACAAGAGTAAACTCATGAAATGCTCAGCTTAATTGCATCAGTTCTCCCCCCTGTCCCTCCAACATATCCATTCCCCTTTCACAAACTTAATAATTACTGAAATGTTCCCAGGCCTTCCCTG